TCCAAGACATCCACAAAACTGCTCTTATCGCCCAGGATCTGGAAACCCGCTGCGATCAGGTGTTGAAAAACCGATATCATGGAGATGAAGACATGTTCGAGACCATGAACCAGTGGAAGGTCTACGCCCAAGCGCACCTCAGGATGTTCACCCTTCCTTACTTCGAAAAGCTTGATGCCCAGCTCTACGCTCACTACCAGTGGGTGAAGGGATTGCCTTGGTATTGCCCGGAACACGAGGTTGCTGAAGGCAAAGCAGTTCTGGAGGACGTGATCACCTGCACTCGTCCCGAAGATGACCTACCGCCCACAGATGAATACATCACTTGTATCTGTAACGACGCCGTCCGTCCTCCTCCCCCGGGCGTTCAGTCTGACGCGGTTCAATGTGACCATTGCTATGCCCGCTTCCATGGTGCTTGCGCGAATAACGGGGGTTCTTGCCCGTTCTGCGATCATCATCATTGGAACGGTTCGCATCACAAAGAACGCAGCTGGCATTTCTGCTACCTGCCCGCCATCCTGATTTCGGCACCCGAGATCTCGAAGAATTACTCGGACGAGTGGAGACAGCTGGAGGTCGTCGTTCATCGAATAGACCGGCTTTCTGCTGTTGTCGGGCAGTTTTTGACTTTCACATCCGTGGCTGAAAATCAGCGACCGGAATATCTCCAGCAGGTGCGCCACTATATGCGCAAACTCTACAAGATTCAGTTCGCCGTCGCCCCCACTCCTGACGTCTCCTTTGGTTTGGATCTCGCTGGATTGCATCGTATTCTTGCCCATCGCAAAGGTCCAGTCAACGAAAGGCATGCTAAAAAGTTGGCGGCACGGCGCAAAGAGAAGGAGCTTTCACTTGCCAAGAAGAAACAAAAGCCTCGCTTCACTTTTGGTCAAGATATCGATGCAGACTGGAGGGATGGTACACGGTGCATCTGCCGAGGTCGTACGCCTTACCTCCTTCACTACCCACCCGTCACATGCGAAATTTGCAATCGCAAATACCACGCAGGCTGTGTATTCTTCCCGAATGACTCTGGGGATAAGGATGCTCGTTTCTCGTGCCCCATCTGTGTCACGCGGAAGAATAACACATACCCATACGCGGAAGTTCGAATAAAGCCTCCTGGTCCGTTTATTCCTCTCGTTTTTGCCCTCGAGGCCCTGATTTTTTTTCTAGCCGATCTGAGGAAGCCGCAAGACCAGTACGTTGACGCAAGACAAATGATGGACAAGGGCACCAAAGAACTCATCTACAAGACCTTGGGCCCTCCATTTACTAAGACTCTGTTCATTGAGATTGTCAAAGTTTCGACTGCGGAAAGTAGCTCATCTTCCTCTAGTAGTAGCCGCCCTACTACTGCCCCAAAGCCTGAACGCTCATCTCATGTTTTCCGCCCCCAACCTTATCGTCATCCGCACGCACGCTCGGGGCCCGTGGATGTGCACATGGCGCCTGCCCCGGAGAGTACCCGCGCTCAATCTATCTCATCCTCCTCTTCATCTTCCGTCATTGCCCCCCCACCCCCTCCGCCTTGGTCCCGTTGGGGCGGTCCGCAGGAGGGCTCGCCAGCTAGTGCTTCGAAAAAGCGCAAGCTGGAGGAGCTGCATGCGTTCCCCGACCCCGTCCCTATTTACCCCAAGAGGCGCGCACCACCGGAGCCCACTTCCCCGGAGAGAAACGGAAACGGAAACGGAAACGGCAACGGTTACTTTACTCCGCCTCCGCCCGAGCCCAATCGCCAGAGTTCGTCGACGCAAGAGTCGCCGCAAAGACTATCGCCCTCGCTCGCGAAGATCGTGATCCCCGCTTCCCCCCTGCACAACTCCCCCGTACCTTATCATCCCCACCCGTTTCAAAACCATGTCCTGATGGCGCCCCGGACACAGGGCGGATAGCTTGCGCTCGGTTCCCGCCTTCATTCGTTCTTCTGGTGTATGCTTCGCTATGTATTTATCACTGTCGTATTATGTTTTCAGTACCCCCGTTAACTCTTGTACACCAAAGTAGATTCCATTATGCTATCCGGATTAATAGTGTCCGTGTCTCTATCGTCTATTGACCATGAATTTATAAGTAGAATATCCTCCGATGATGGCGAACGCGACGAGTCCTGCGATGATGGAAACAAACCATGCGTAGCCCTGCAGAGGTCATGAGCCGGGAAGGAAAGGTTGAATGACTGAATATGCATACAGGAACGTCTTGCCCAGGTACATGTACATTCATCCCCCACAGCCCTTCAGCAAGTCAGCCCTCGCGCGAAGGAGGGAACAAATATGGCTGCTTACCAGTTACTAGATTCATCGGGATGAGCACCGTTCCGAGGGCGGTGAGTTTCGATAGCACGTCGTTGATCTGGTTGTTCGCGTCGGTCATCTCGATCGAGATCTGCGCCAGGTAATTCGAGTGCGACCGAGAAAGGATCTTCTCGTAGTGGTTCAGGTTCTGCGTCATCGTGATGAGATGGTCCTGGATATCCGAAAGATACAGTCCCTGCGATTGTTGGTGTCAGAACCGCGCGTTGGAGCTGATAAGCGACTCACGATGTCCGATGTAGGCGCAACGCGCCAATGCTCGTTGCACCGCTTTGCGAGACCTTTGACGACGTCCGCCTTGTTCCCCATGAGCCGCAGCAGCCCCATAACCTTCTTGCGGCAGGTGCCGATGCGCCGGAGCATGTCGCTCTGCTCCGCCTCTTTGAGTATGAGCACGAGCTCGTCGATGCTGTCGACCTCGTACTCGATCCCCTGGATGAGCGGCCCGAACGCGTCGGTGATGTCATCGATGAGCGCGTACGAGATCCAGTCGGAGGTCACGCTGATGTAGTCTTTCAGCTGCTTGATGCGCCGGCGGACGTTCTGCGGGTGCGGGGTCGGGCGGAAGTGGAACGAGAGCGTGCCCTCGCGGAAGACGATAATGTACATGTTGAGCGGCTCGAGGTGCGTCGGGCTGTACGGGTCCTGGTCGAACGAGCGGAAGCACACGAGGTAGTAGTTGCGGAACAGTTCGATCTTCTCGCGCGTCTCCTCCATCTGAATGTCCTCGGTCGTGAGCGGGTGGATCGAGAACACCTGGGGACCGTCAAACAAGGATGAGGCGACGAGGGAGGCGGGCTTGCCTTGCTCAGCATCTTCATTTCGTCGTCCGTGGGGCTCTGCACGTCCAGCCACCAGGTGCTCGATTCTGCGTCGCTGTCGTTGTGCCGTGGGCGTTCCCCCAGGGGCTTGTAGTTGGAGTGTCGGGGCGCCTTGTCCCCCACCACCGGCGTCGGCCCCGGACGGGTTGGCGGGGCCTGAGAAGCCCCCTGCTCGCGCGGAGGCAGACCCGAAAAGAGGTCGGTGAACGACTGGTTCTCTGCGGGCAGTTCGCTTAGGCTGCGCGCGTGGATCGTCGCCGAGAGCGCATTCGAATAGAAGGAGAAGCGGTAGGGCCTGTCGTGTCCGGTATGCAGGATTCCCGGGATGCCGGTCGTGGTTTGCGCAGCGTCGATGGTAAAAGATGGCGGTGAATCGCCCGTGTTCCCCTCAAACAGCGCCATCTTACCGCCGCCGCCCTTTCGGTGGTGCCGTGGACGTGGATCACTGTGGCTCAGTTTGCGGTGCGGGGAGGAGCGGCGCTCGGGGTCCGAGGGGCCTTCCTCGAGATCTTCAGCGTCGGGCGCGACGGTGCGCGCACGGAGGGCACTCAGCGAGAATTTTGGAGAGGCGAGATTAAGGAGGACTTTTTCGGCTGTGGCGAATTCATCCATAGGCGTAAAATCAAATTCTGACTGGGAGGCATTAGGTTGGTAAGTGGGGAGACCACCAAAGGTCGACGAGGGCGCAATGCGAAGATGCGACTCGTGTACGAGCATCGTCGGGTCGTGTGCGGAGATGTGGTTCATTTCCACGAATGTCGGCACTGGGGCCACGTTTTCAGGCAGTTCATCTGGTTCTCCGCGCGCAACGTCAAGTTCGTGCTGTTCATGAGTTGAAAGCGCGGGGAAGGCGCTCTCGGACTGCTCGGTAACAGAAGATATTGTCTCTCTGCGGGCACGGGAGAGCTGCATGGCCATATCGACGTCCATGGTGCGCTGGCGTTCTCTGAACTGGGGGTCGTTGGGATCAAGGGTGCGAACAAGGGTAGGTGAGTGTCGGGGGCGAGAGATGTCGCTTTCGCTGCGGCTGAGGCTTGCCCTACGACGGACCGGAGAGCCGCCACGAATTGAGATGGGGGAGCTGGACAGCACGACATCTTCTTCTCTGGGAGGCGAGCTCATTGTCAAAGTTAAAATTTCCACGGAACTGTAATATGTCTGTGTGAAGGGGTAAGTACTATGGTGGATAGTGCCAGGTTTCTGGGAGAACCTCGCGTTATGTGACCGTCCCGGCGATTGGTGACCCAGAAGTAGCTAACACTGCTAACTGGTAATTGGCGCGCTGGTCACGGCGATTGTGCCTTAAGGCAGCTAAAATTTTCAAGTGAACGTGGGAGTCGGCGACAGTCAAGGGCCGCGATGAGGCGTATTTGCTGCTTCGGGGAGATGCTGGATAAAAATCGTGCAAAGAGGTACTGAGCTACTTCAAGATTTTTGAGTGTTGGGGCCGCGAGTCCGAAGAGGTCGAGCTGTTCAACCAACTGAGGAGTTAGACAATGCTCGGGGTAGGAACGTAGAAAGAGACAGTGCCAAAGTCCCTTTGCAGGCGCTATGACTCTGGACCCGTAGGAGGACGGAATGAAGGCAGACCACGTCGGCAAAAGCTTCAAGTTGACTTGTCAAACTTGGAGTGATCGATCGGGTCCACCTCGGTAACTCATGACGCCGCAGATCCGGTCCGGACTCCCGACGAGTCCCTATCTGTGGCATAGTGGTCGTAGTAATACTCCAGCACTGGTACTGAAAGCAACTAATGGACTCAGCTTTTTCTTCAATCGCATTGTAGAAAGAGATATTCACCTTTTCCGTCTCAGGAACTTGGTTCTCGAGTTAACAGAACCAGATTTTCATCGTCTTCAATGCCCCCGTTGTCTAATGGTTATGACGTCAGACTTCTACGTTTATTACGTTATCTGGAGGTTGCGGGTTCGAGTCCCGCCGGGGGTTACTTTTTGTTTGCTCCAGCAACCTGGCGAGTAGAGAGGAGATTGTCGGGGAGAGGGGCCATGTGCGTATTCACTATTCATAGACGGCTCTGGATGTGAGGACGGGATTAGGCCGCAGCGGGCGTGATGAAGAGAGAGGAGCTGGGAGCGCACAGGACAAAGTACCTTGGGACGGGTGCAGATCACAGTGTGTTGTTCGAATCCAATCCAAGGTCACAAGCGCCATCCTCACTCTAGGCATCATCCGCGACACACCGCGCCTCACCGACGTCCATATCTTCATACACTGTCAGCCTACCATCGCCGCCCTCGCCGTCCTGGTCGCTCCTCAAGGCCCATCCGGGCCAACACCTCATTTCCACCGTGCCCACATCCACTAGGTCCTGGCCCATGTTGGTATCACGGGCAACGAGACAGTCAACGCGCGAAGGAGGCGGCCCAGAGAGCTTCCACCGCCCACTCCTCATACATCCCCATCTTCGATTCTCCGCTCCCCGCCGCCTCCCAATCCTTCCGCGCATGGTAGCTGCACTAGTATTCATGTATGTAGGTGGCTTCATAAAATATTCCTTTTTGGGCCGCGAGAATGAGTGAGACGGATTTGGACAAGCACGTGCCACTGGCAAAGTTATGGTCTTAGAGATCGAGTCCCATCGGAGGTGCTTCAATTTCTTTATATGCACAACAACCAAGGATTCAGAACGTGGATAAAAGATTACAAGGGGGACTGCTGAATAAACCCTGGGTTGCGAGTTCGAATTTCGCCGGGAAAAGATCAAATCCGCTTTTCTGGTGCCTTCGGCATAGGTATACACTCCAAATCGCTGCGAATGCTACACTACTACACAAAGGGGGAGGAAGGGGGAAGTCAAGTTTTGGCATCTTCCCGTTTCTTCCGTGCCAACTTTCGTTCGACCAACGCGACGTACTGTGCCATACCTTTCTCCATGAGCTTCAGCTTTCCACCACCGACGCGATATGTCTTTCCAGGCGGGGTGGTGGTATCGTCATCATCTTCGTCGCTGGAAGAATCATCTGACTCGTCGTCTGGTGTAGCATGCCGAAGCGATTCGCCTTCGATCACAACACGGCTGAACCATCTGGGAGGATGGATGAAGATCGAACGGGGGAAGGAGCACGACCGGGGAGCACTCACCGGTCGTGGGTGATTATGATTATCCCACCCGTGAAGGTCTTGAGGGCCTGTGCCAAGGCCTGGATGGTAGGGAAGTCCACGTGCGTGGTCACTTCGTCGAGCAGCAGCAACGGAGGGGGTATGAACACGATCAGCGCTATGGCCAGCCGGACCTATCCTCAACGATGAGCTTTCGATATGAAACCGTGGTACTACCAATCACCTTTTGCCCACCACTTAGCTGGGAGAGCGGTGTATCGCTCGCAATTTTCCCCTGCAGGCCAAATGATCCCAAGCACTTCCGAGCATCTTGCTCGACGACTGTCTCGCCCTTGGCCTCGAAATATTCCGTGAAATATGACAGCGCCGTCACTGGTCCATCCGAAGATGATCGGGTCATAGGGCCGGATAGTTCTTCGACAGAATGTTGAGAGAAGTAGCCAATTTTGAGAAGTGGATGCCGAATTATGTTGCCTTTGGTAGGCTTGAGAATGCCCATGATCAGCTTAGCGAGGGTCGATTTTCCTTGTCCGTTCTGTAAAGAGTCCGGAGTTAACACCAAATCAGCGGTCACAGCAAAACACTCACAGCGCCTACGAACGCACATCGACCGCCCTGGTTGATGGTGAAGGTGATATCCTCCAGGAACGGCTTCTTCGCCTTCGGAAATCGGAATTCCACCGCATCGAAATGTATTAGATCCCCGACAGTTCGTAGCTTGTCTGGACTGGCGATATTGATTTTAACAGGAGGTTCGGTGGCGGCCTTCTCGATCTCGCCTCGGTTCGTATTGTGGTAGCCCGCCATGTCGCGGTTGAGTTTGAAACGCGTCCCTTTCGCACTGGTCTCTGCTCCCCAACGCTCGTCCAACCTAAAAAAGTATATTAGGTGAGCTTGATTTAGCCCGCAATGTATTAACGAACTTCTTCTGGCGCGATTTTACCATCCGTTGTCTGGAATCGGGAATCAATGGAAGCCGGAGTGTCCATATTATGGAAATACCTGTTCTCATCCCCAGTTTTCTTGGCACTGGCGATACCCTGTTGAATTGACTTTTCGATCTATGCGCATGGTTGAGAGCCACATTTCGGGAAACAAGTTGCTGCATACGTGTTCCCGCTTCTTATCCAAAACCTCCTGCGCACCCGTAAGTCGTTTACGCTGTTTCCGCTCGTTGACTTCAAATGCCGCAGGCGTGCCCTCGAAATATTCGAGTTTTTTATTCCGCAGGATGACCGTCTCTTCGACAACGTTATTCAGGAAGTCTTGGTCGTGCGAGATGAGCACGAGAGTGCGCGACTCGGAACTGAGGAAGCCTTCAAGCCAAATTATTGCTTCGAGATCCTATTGCTGGTGAGTCGAATATTTCTGAAAGTTAAGTGCAGAACACACCAGGAAATTGGATGGTTCATCGAGAAGCAGAACGTCGCTATGGACAAGAAGCGAGGTCGCAAGAGAGCAACGAGACCTCCAGCCACCGGAAAGGGAGGTGTAAGGCCCTTCCATCATTTCCTGCGTGAAGCCCAAGCCCGAGAGAATCGTTGCAGCCCGCGCTTCTGTAGATGATGTTTCGAGCTGTTCGGAAAATTTAAAAAAAATATTTAAACGCAATACGAATGCAGAGCATACCAGATCCAGCGTGACTTGAACATCCTGGAGCATCTCCAGAGCCTGGTTCATGATCTCGCTTTCTATTTCGGCCGTATCAACCCCTTCGAGACTTGAGGGAAGTATCAGCCTCGACCTGAACCGGTTTTCTCGCAACGTACAGAAGCTCAGCCTGTTTCACGTTCTCTTCTGCCTTGATTTCCTCCAGGCGCGCGTCTTTACCGCGTGCACCCGAGCGTCGACTCGCAACCTTCTTGGCCTCCTGCAGCTCCCGGCGTCGTTTATCTAGCCGTAGCCCATAAACGATACGCTGCGTCTCGCGCAGGGACGTGGTTTCTACCGCCTTCGTCAAAACTAATCCGACAAGACTCAATAAACACATTGCAAGACGAGAAATGACACAGAACGCGCCTTCAAGCTCCTCCACTGCAGCCTGCCGTTCCTTGTCGCCTTTGACTACGTGCTCTAGGACGTTGATAGAATCGATGCCCGCGGAATCGGTAGCTCTGGCGCTATCCTCGACCTGCGAGAGCAGGAGAATCCGGATAGATGGGCTCAATCCCGGAATGAGCTTGTCCGCAATGGCCGTCAGGAGCGTCGATTTCCCAGAGCCGTTTCTGCCAACGAGCCCGTATCGAATGCCTTGCTTGAGACGCAGATGGCTCGCCGAAATCAGCTCGCGTTCGCCAATGGAAATGTTCACTCCTTTGAGATCGATCTCGAGGGTGGTATCGAGTGTTTCGGCGTGGAAGCGGGATTGCTGTGATGTCGCAGTAATGAGGCTCATGTTTTTCGGGACTGCTTTTGCTTTTGGGGCCATGGTGGGACAGGAAAAGGACGGTGGTACAGTGTCATTGAGGTACGGAACCGAGGATACGACTTATTATAGACGGAACACGATAAGATAAGATAAATGCTTCCGATCAGAACCGGGGACTGAATTCAGGCCTTATTCACATCGGTTCGAGCGCAGAAAATATATGGGGGGGAGATACACGAAAACTACAAGAAGAACGTCCTTCTCGTGGTCTCCAATTCCGGCTGCACTTACGATTTAGTCTCAAACTCGGCAATAAACATAGAACACGGACCTTCCATGCCCACAGGAACTCATCTGTCTGTGGCGGGACGACGGGTTTCGGTGGCTCGATATCAGCAGGAGCGGCGTCCGGCTCGGCCTCAGTGGCAGGGGCAGCAGCTGGCTCCTCCAGCGTCCCTTCCTCCTCCTCCTTGCTATCCACCTCGAACACCAGCGGCTTGGGGTCGTCGCCGAAACGCTGCACGGCGGGGATGCCCTTGCGCAGGGATCGCAGCTTCAGCGTGAACCGCGGGCCGATCTCCTGCAGCGCGACTTTTTCCGGCGAGCGAAAGGCATACCTGCCCAGAGTTAGCTCGACCTCTGGGAAGAAGCAGGATAGATCAATGCGTACCGATGCCGTCTGAAGAACAGGAAGTCGCGTTGATTGTGGAGGGTGACGACCTGGCGGCCTTGGAATTCCGGCAGCGGGGGAAAGAGCGTCTGGAACATGCGGCCCACGGCGTGCCCGAGACGCGTGACGAAGTTGTTGAGGACGAGCTCGGGGTCGTGCGGCGTTGCACGCGCATGGCCCTGCACATTTTATCAGCGACTTGTCAATGCACACGGCAACTCGTATTCACATAAATTTGTTTCGTCAACTCCACGGAGGTGAGCTTGAAATACGCTGTGGGCCCGTCGGGAAGGTGTATGAGGGTTATAGCGTCTATAGCACCATCTGAAATCAGTAAAAGGAATCCGGAGAACAACCAGAACGCACTTGGTTTTTTCGAATCCTCGTTCACGACACACATGTGTTTGTACCCCCTGCCCGCGGCCCACCCCGCAATCCGCCCGACCTCAAATCCCTTGCCCTTCTTCCTGCGGATGAACTCGGCGCCGGGGAACACCCCCACGAGCTCATCGCAAAAGTCGTACGTCGCCTTCGTCGCCTTCGGGGACGTGGTGATGAGGATCTTTGGCGGGACGCTCGGGTCATCCGTAGACGAGAAGTACGACGCAAACGGGTCGGCGGCGATGTCCTGTGCGGTTTCTTCTTGTGCGGCGGAAGACGACTGCCCCGGGTCGGCGGTGAGGAATGAGGGATCGAATTCGCGGGTGTTGTCGAGTGTCCGCGGGACGTTCTCAGCCAGCCGTTTCTATGCCACAAAGCTGAGGACACCAAGACGCGAGAAACTTGTTCACAAACTTTTTTGGCGGCCGGATCGTTGGCTTCTGCCTT